AAGTTAGATATATACACAATAAGGAAGCAGACAGACTTTGGGCCTCTCCCTAAATCCTACTTCAGTACAAAAATGGTTTGTTCTAATAATGTGGCAATGTATAATACTCATCTTCCTGACATTATCACTGAAGACAAATTTGGTACATAAGCAAATAGGATGAAGAAAGCTGATGGTGTCGGCTATCAAAAGATATAGCATCTGGGGTCTTAAAGGTTTGAAGTTTAACAAGTGGCCATCTAGCAGGGAAGCAACAAAGCCCACATGGAATAAGTATGCCAGCTTATCATGTGTGATGAAGAGGTGTCAACGGGAATAGGTATCAAGTTCAAAAACAAGTAACCAAACTGATATGAAAGGAACATAGGCAAGGTGGAGACCCCAAGCCCACCTGTAAAATAATGGGACAGTCCCTTACAGAAGGGCCATACGGAAGGGATGCTATATCAAGGGGGCAGTAGAGCACTGATGAAACAACACAGCTATCCTCTAGTTCTTTAAAATTTCCTCCTCCCACTATTATGGCCCTAGTTTTACTTCACTGATCTTGCTAGACCTGCATATGTACATGGGTACATGACTTTCAGTTCATGAAAGTCAAGATAGATAAACCCCTCAGAAACAGAAAGGGGAGTAACGACTCCCTGAGGATACGGAAAGAGACGGGGAGGAAAGGTGGGAAGGAGGAACTGATAGCAATAATAACTGCATACCCCCCACTTGAAGGGAACAAACATCAGAATTTTAGGTGATTGGATACATGGGATGGTGGAGGGGATAAAGGGGAGCTTATATCAAGGAGCTCAAGAAGAAAAGAAAATGTACTGAAAAGAATTATGGCAATAAAGAAAGAAAGATGGCAGAAATTGTATAATTATTCTTGATCTAATGGAACTATGTAATGTAATATCTAAGAATGACTAATAAAATGTTAAAAATAAAATAAATAAAAACAAATTGATAAATTAAATTTTTTTTCATGAAATTTTTGAAGTTTCCTTTTACATATAAAAGCAGGGAGTTATATAACCTATAGTTAATAAAATGATGGTACTAATTAAAATTTAATATTATATTTATCACAAAACTTAAGTAAGAGAGGAAAAAACTAGTGAAACAAATTCCTTTATGAGGAAGTAAGATAATAAGATTAGGTCTACAGAATTAATTATGTTCTAATTAAACCCCACAACATGTATGTGCTTTGTAAATCATGAAAAACATTACTTCATATGGTTTTCAGTAACATCTACATGTCTGCATAATACTATATTAAGAAATAGCTTAATATACAATCTGATTTAGATGAAGGCAGAATAAAACTTACGTTTCAAAAAGGGCAAAAATAAACAGAACCACAAAAAATAGAACATTAGTGGCTACAACAGCAACTTGGTCAATATATCCTTGAGGAGTATGAACTTCAGCTGTACTTGCTGTAAGTAAACAGAAGAAACCTTAAATGACCCACACATGTAATTTTCATATGAAACTTTGACACAGAAATTACATCTAGAAAAATTTATGAGTAAAATAGCTTTTAGGCGTCAAAGCAGTTTCAAAGTAACAAAAATTTATCATGACTAAAAAAATAAATGTAACTTACATCCCAGAAAGTATATTTTAATAATGTTAATTATAACATATACTCATTCCTTTTTTTCCTTTTTCTTCTTTTTGATATACCTCAAACTGAAATAAGAATCTATTTTAAGAATTTTTTTATAATCATTTTATTGGATCTCATACAACTCATCACAATCCACACATACATCAATTGTGTAAAGCACACTTATACATTCATTGCCCTCATTATTCTCAAAACTCTCGCTTTCCACTTGGGCTCCTGGAATCAGCTCCTCATTTTTCTTTTAAGAATTCTATTGTAAAGTCTTCACAAACTAAATAATGCATTTGCTTAAAATTTCAGTTGTAGATTTGTTTTCTTTCCTAAATCTTACATTTATAAAAATTTCATGAAGACCTCAGCTGGTTTATAATGGATTGTCAGTTCAATATTCATTTCAATTCATACTTTGATGTTGATGTTTTAAATTTCAATGCATTTTAATTCATCAGAATCCTCGAGCTGTCATGTATCTGTTACACAGAAATGAGCCAGTGTCTGGGGATGGCTTTATACAAAGTATCGTGACTTGTTATCCTGAACGATTTACTTAATACACTCAATGTCAGCTTTTATTGATGCAGCTTGAGAAAAGTGTGAGGCTAAATATGAGGAAACTTCAAAAAGTTCCTGGAAAAAAATGAACTGAAAAGATAATGGAATTCTTCCAGGAACTCTCTGAAGCCACTTTGTACATCTATCCACTCACATACATTTATCATGCTAGTATTTAATTTATCCACAAGATTTAACATGATTATGTTTATTTATGCTGTATGTGTGTTGGGGGTATGTTGAAAATAATGAAGGACTAGATATAAATTTACTTGCAACTATACTATTAAAAATTGTGGTAAATAAAAAAAAATTGTAGTAAATCGAACATATCATGAAATCTGCCATGTAAGCCATTTTAAGTGTACAATTCGGTTACATTAATTACATTCACAATGCTTTGTAAACTATGTACAAGCAGATCTCAGATATTGCAGGTGTGGCCCGAGATCCCCACAATAAGGCTGTATCATAAATGAGTGAATCACAGACATTTTTTGGTTCCCAGTGCTTATGAAAGTTAGGTTATCCGGAGGGACTAGTCGGTGAGGAAGACTATCATGCTTGGTAGATAGAGAGTCAGTGAAAAAGTGGAAGACAGTGGGCACAGGGTTGCAATCAGGAGCTCAAAGCACAGCAACAATTGTGGGATGGCCAAGAGCAGATGGTACTTTGTTCTGTTGAACATAAGGTCAATATGAATCGGAATTGGCTCAATAGCACCTAATGACAATGAACAAGGAAAAATCAATATGGCCAAGACCCTGATTTGGAATGTCAGCTTCCAGAACCATAAGGAAATAAATTTATGTTCTTTAAAGCCACTCAGTTTGTGCTATGACAGCACAAAGTATCTAGGGGACCTAAGATAGCTCCCTTCTTTCCACGTCCTTAAAGTAATCAGATCAGTCATCCTGTAGAAAGAACCTGGCTCTTTATGGTGCTATTTCATTGCTTCCTGTAGTCCCCATATTTGCTGAACACTGGAAATGACATCTAAAATTTTTAATAGACTCGGGTTTAGTGTTTGGGGGCACAACTTTTCCCATGTGGCAAGGAGTATTTCCTATTGCATAACCTCCTGTATCAAAAGGAGGGAAATGCAGAATAAAAATTAATATTCTCATGGACTCCAAACTGGCAGGAACCATGGAGGGCTGAATAAACCCCTGAAATGATTACTCTGAGAGTCCTTAAGCCCCAAATATCTCCTAATATCTTCTTAAAACCAAACAGTTTAGCTTACCAAGAAAAAAAAAACACCTGTTTTGAGCATTATGCTCATTTAAGAACTATTTATATGGGGTCAAAGCGAGACTACAGCTCAAAGGAGACTGAACCCCTTCGAGTTTATGCTCACCGAGAAACTGGACAAATGGTGAGAATGGTGAACCGTACGTGTAGACTGGGTGCAGTGACGCACATTCTGCTGTGCAGGTTTTCAATAACAACATGAAATTCAAAACGAGACTCAGCAGTGACTTTAGCTATTGTCAGGAGGGCGTCTCCATTTTACAGTTTCTCTTTGACAAACTCATTTTGCATCTGTTGATGATCGCTGCCTGGATATATTAATTTATTAGAAAATAAAATGATGTTCTAATTCTGAGATTTCTTTTGCATTTTTAAGCTGGAATTCTTATATGAAAAAGAACTTTCCTTCATCAATGATTTGATTAAATAGACATAACTTATTAGGAAAGAAAAAATAAATACTTGATAATTTCTATTTAAGTTGAATTTTGGAACAATGTATGCCCTAGAAACCTCCAAAGGTTACCAATAAAGTTTTTTTTTCTCTCTCTCTTTTTAGAAGTATTCTGTCTAACCCAAAGATAAATTTAAAATGTTTTCCTTAGTTGTAGTCATTGAACACTCAAATGGTCCCATCTTTAGTCAACGGAAGCCCTTTCTAGCAGGCTTGTCTCCGTTTAACAACTCCATTTTTCCTTAGCAACAAGGTGTACTAGGCTTATCTTTGTTTATTACTACCTCAGACCCGAAATAAGTCATTTCTTCAAGATGCTATGCACTTCCTTCAGTAGGAAACAGTATTCTATGATGACAATCTGTAAATGAGTGATAGTCTTAGTTACTTACTAGCTTTCAGTGCTTTAAAAGTTTTCAATGGTCATTGAAAAAAGATCAAGACATTGAGAAAAGTACAAGAGTTAAAGCAACAAAGGTAAATACTGTTATATACACAATCCTGTAATAATGGTGATCTACGAGTTGATGCCTGGATAGACAAGCAGGATAAATGGGCGTAAAGGGAAGTATACCTACAAATATATAGAGTGTCACAGAGGTTATTTGTCCCTGGGTCTTTATTTCTGATACAAGGATATTCATGAATGAGGTGGAGCATGTTGCAGGGAAAGACAATCATACACCCTGAGGGAATGAGTCACTGGGTATGGAGTCTCAGGACCATGGCCTCCAGGGAGACCAGGGTCAATAGACCTAACCTTGTCTACAAAGACAAGATTTGACATGCTACTTTGGTGAATAGCAACGGGGGTCTTAAAAACTCTAAGGAGCAACTTGTCTCTCAGGGAAAAAAAGTAAAGAAAATTGAAAATGCATGGAAACAATTAGTCCATGAGAACCTCAATCCTACAAACCCAAGGCCAGAGTAACTAGATGGTGCCCAGCTTCTAATACCAAGGATTCTATTAGAGGGTCCTGGATAGAGTGGGAGTAACAAATGTGGAAAATTGGTGGAATCCCCCGAGATCAGGGTTTTAGTCACCTTTCAATTCTAAAAATGAAATTACTCTCATGGCTCAATTTTTATCCAGACAATATAGTTTTATGAGGGGAACAGTAACACTAGGGAGGTACACATACATCTCAAATAAGCGACTGAGATCAAAAGGGCAGCATTTGCCCAAAGACAAAGTCCAGAAGAGGTGTGGGATAAGTGATGCTACATTGTGGGAATTGCAACCAATGACTTGAAGAAAAATTGTATAAATTATGGAATGGAAAATCCATCCATCTGTTAACTTTCACCCAATTCACAATAAAAAGTTTTGTTTATTTTAAAGAAAATCAATCATAAATTTGTACTGGTATTTGCCTTTCAAACTTAACATTATAGAATTTGAATTCAACTTTTCATTTTATATTTGATTCTCTTTCTTTCATTCTAAATGTCCTAGTCCTTAACACTGTTAACATAATTTAACCCTGTAATCTACAGTATTACTTAAAAAATAAAAATATTAATATTATTACTAAGAATAAGATTATTAAAATAAGTTTTAAATTGA